AGTTTCTGAATGAATCGGTATGAATTCAGCCAAACCTTTTCCACTTCTACTTTCACACTAAGCCTTGTTTTACAGATACTAAGTTTCAGTATGTCTGGTAGTTAACCGCTGAGAAGATGTCGTTGCATGTCTTGTCTGATCATGTGGTGGATTGTTCATCTTTGGGGTTTCTGCCACAAAGCTGCAGCAGGGTCTCTTGGTAATTTCTAGCCAGAAAGAAGTACATGACAGGATCCAACACGCCACTTACGCATGTTAAAGCTGAGGTGATGCGATTTCCTAAATGCAACATTTGTCTTTCGGATTCTGACCTTGACATGTCGTCATGCTGTAGGATAAATACAAATCGGTGGATATGATAGGGCACAAATGCAATCAAGAAGTTAACCACGGTTAGAACGATCATTCTCATTGCCTTACGCTGAGCAGGCGTCCTTTCTTGAAAAGTCATCTGTTTTACTTTGGCAAATATGAGAATGTAAGAAATGCTCAGGGTGACCAGAGGTATCACAAATGCAATAGCAGTGGACACCAATGCACCGGTGGGATTGGAGGACTTCTCTATGTACAGCTTTTCACACACTGTCACATTCTGCATTTGTCTAGTCACTTCTTTTTTAGAGAATAGGACAGGCAACATGGAAATAGTCACCATGAGCCACAGCACTGCAGAGACCACTTTGGCATTCCTGGTCTTTCTCAGATTGAGAGTTTTGTGTGGTACAACACAAGCCAACAGACGGTCTACACTGATACAAGTCATGAAGTACATGCTGCAGTAGAGGTTGACGAAGAACAGGAAACCAACCATGCGACAGGCGCCTTCACCAAGAGGCCAGTGACTGTCTGACATGTGGTAGATCACTCGCATGGGGAGCACCAAGACGTAAGACATGTCCGCTATAGCCAGGTGCTTCAGAAACTCTTTGGAAGGGGTGTTGTTGGTGTTGTGGTGGCAGAACACCCAAAGTGCCAGGGCATTACTCGGGACTGAGAGGATGAAGATGACAATGTAGAAGGTTGAGAGCAGGATGTTCTCCAAGTGAGAGCTGAGGTAAATCCCCTCCATGGAGTGATTCGACAAAGCGCAGGTCTATGCTATGAGACTGAGCTTCTGTTTGGAGAATGGCAAGAGTCAGAATAAGTATCAGATATTATATCTAGCTTATCTATGATAATGTATAAAAAAAAGTTTGGAAATGACTGTATTCTGTGTTATTATTATATAACAGTAGAGTAATTGGAGCTATACATTCACAAATTGAAGTGTGGGCATTTTACAAAAATGTTTAACAAATCAAAATTTTAGTTTTAGATTCTTTAGTAGCTACCATTTGCCTACAGTTCTGCACACTATGTATTCAGTAAAGTGTGTCCAACTTTTGACCCGGTTTTAGCAAAATTATTTTCTCCAGAACTGCAGAAAGTGACACAGTGATTGTTGAAATGTTTTTTTTTTCAAACAACTTGACTAGCAATTTGACTATATGCCCTTGAACTTAAAAAATTATATGATAATACTGCTTTATTATTATTATTTAAAACAACATAAATACTGAGAAATTACCAGACATTTTTGATTAAATAATGTGTGTATATATATTTATAAAGTGTATTAGCATTAAGAACTTTAATTCAAACAACATTCAGTTTACCAAGGTAAATGGTAAAATCACTGTTAAAAAAAGCAACATTTTTAAAGTCACTAAGAAAGCATTTTTCCTTTAAAAAAAAAAAAAAAAAAGGTCAACGATATTAATATCATTATTAGTATTGCTCTTATTATTTCCGTACTTACAAGTAGGTTATAGTCTTCCCCAGCAGCCAGCACATTGACTTAATGATAAATGCCTCCTTTGGCTATAGATCAAATTAATGTTGTGTTTGCTCATCTGTTTCCTCTTTTAGTCATATGCTTTGACTTCAGTAGGAGGTATCATACAAAAATGAATTAGCCCTTCTACAACATCCCCATTAACACACACCACCCTCTACTGGTCTCTTTACCTGCTGTATGTGATGACTGCATCTTCATAACAATTCTTCATAAAACAAACCTGGCGTTGTTCAAATTTACAGTAACGTTGAAGCTATTTGTGTGCAAATCCACTTAGGCTAGGGTTTATTAAGTTATAAAATAGCAGTAAGAAAGCTGGTCATTTATGCAGTATGTGGAGATCAAAATTAGAGAACCTACAATTTCCTAAATTTCGAGGTCACTACTTAGTCATATTTGAAGTTATCCTAACAGGAGCAAAAGTGCCATTTTTAAGCATATTTCATGAGTTAAATATATTCTGAAGCACAGTATAAAAAACTTAAATGAGATATTTGAAAAAGAACACTGATCAAAATTAGAGAACACTTTCAGATACATCCCAATTATTTCTGTTAATATGGTACCTGATGCTAATTTCCTTCATTATATGACAAAACCTATTTAACTGGCAGCCTAACTTTTCAGTTTTCACTGACTTTAAAAGATGGTGAGCCATTCTAAAGTGACTGAAACCCTCCGACAGCAGGTTAGATGTAGGCCAATAGCAGATACAGCAAAAGAAGTTGGCCGTTCCAAATCTGTGATTTCTAGAATATTGTTATGCATTTAGCAGACGCTTTTATCCAAAGCGACTTGCAGTGCATTCAGGCTATACATTTTTTACCAGTATATTTTTTAAGCATATTTCATGAGTTAAATATATTCTGAAGCACAGTATAAAAAACTTAAATGAGATATTTGAAAAAGAACACTGATCAAAATTAGAGAACACTTTCAGATACATCCCAATTATTTCTGTTAATATGGTACCTGATGCTAATTTCCTTCATTATATGACAAAACCTATTTAACTGGCAGCCTAACTTTTCAGTTTTCACTGACTTTAAAAGATGGTGAGCCATTCTAAAGTGACTGAAACCCTCCGACAGCAGGTTAGATGTAGGCCAATAGCAGATACAGCAAAAGAAGTTGGCCGTTCCAAATCTGTGATTTCTAGAATATTGGCATCTTTACAATGTCACTCAATCAAGTCCCCCAAAAAGGCTAGTCGTCCACAAAAGACAAATGCACAAGAGGACAGGATAATGCAGAGAATCTCAATCTCAATCGGTTCAACACTGCAGCTGGAATTGCTCGCCAGTTCAGTGCTGAACAGGGTAAGGATTTGTCTCGGCATATAGTGTCTCCATGTTTAAGAGAATTTGCACTAAAAGTGCACTCTGCAGTGACTGGTAAAGCTGAAAACATTAAAATAATGAAACGGCCAGCTCTGAGTCCTGATCTAAACCCGAATGAAAATTTCTGGAAAATCCTTGGTGAAAAAGTTATGGCTAAGAAACCCACTACAGTCACCAAACTGTGGAAGAGACTGAAAGATCACACCAGAGCAGTGTGAGAGACTAGTGATGTCCTGTGGCCACAGATGTGCTGAAATCATTCAAAGCATGGGCCTGTACACTTACTAGTAATTTTTGACTGCTGTACCTTCAGAAATTTTAATTATCTTTCTTCGTGCTACAGTCATTGCTGTTCTCTAATTTTGATCGCTGTGTTTTCCAAGGGTTTTTGTTGAAGTGCCTTGGTTATTTTGTAAAACATCTACAATCATTCACTGTTCTACTAGCATGCTGTCAGACTTTTGGACCCGTTTTGCCCCCGTAGTCCTTCCTGTGTTTCCTTATTTGGTCATGTTCCTGTCCTCGTTTAGTTTGATTAAAGTGAAAGTGACGTGACATGTTGCCAAGTATGGTGACCCATACTCGGAATTAGCGCTCTGCATTTAGAGACTCAAACCCGCAACCTTTGGGTTACGAGTCTGACTCTCTAACCATTAGGCCACGACTTCCCCGATTATGTTCCCCTGATTGCCCTGTGTTTAAAAGTCCTAGTCTGTTCAGTTTGTGTTTGTCAGGTCTACTTGTTTCTACGTGTGTTTGCCCAGCGCCTATTGTGGATTATCTTCTATGTTTCCTGGATTAAAGACCGTTCTCATTAACTCGTGCCTCCTGCGTGCTCCCTCAACAGCGTAACGTGACAGAAGACTTGACCAACACAGTTACCTCCGTGTTTTTCCCTCCGTTTGTTTTCTCGTTTTTCTCCCAGTGTTTTTGTTTCCGTTGTGTTTCCTGTTATGGATCCCTTCACCCGACCAGAATTCCTCCTCCTCCTGCTGGAGCAGGGGGAGAGATCTCTCGAGGACCATACGAGACTATTCCAGCTGCTAGCAAGCACCACCAGCTACCCGGACCATTCTATGACGCGAGCTTGAACACCGCGAGCAGAACGCTGTCGTCCGAAGATGGTCCTCGAGAGGATTAGAGGATCGCCCCGGATGTGGAGCTCAATCCGTCAGACCAGGTGTGAGAGCCGGCGACAATGCCAGCCACGAGGGAGAAAGCCGCAGACAGTGTGAGCGTGGAGAGGAGCCCCGCCCCTTGCACCGCAGCTGAGGGTGAGCCAAGTATGGCGTGGCGAATGAGCCACACCGAAGAGGTTTCTACGTGTGTTTGCCCAGCTCCTATTGTGGATTATCTTCTATGTTTCCTTGATTAAAGACAGTTCTCGTTTACTCGTGCCTCCTGCGTGCTCCCTCAACAGCGTAACGTGACACATGGTATAGCCACAACTAAAATTACTTCAAATTTCGAATGATGACGTTCATAAATTGTTCTTTAATTTTGATCTCCACTGTACATGTATTCTGTATTACTACAATTTTTAGTATAATATTATTGTCAATGAAACTATACATTAACACAAATGGAAGCAAGGGAAATTCCCCAATATTTTAAACAAATCAAAACAAATTAAATCTTCAAACTTTGTTTCAGATTCCTAAATGTAAAAACCTTTTGACTACAGCAAACAGTACATACATTCAATAAAGCTTGTCTAAATTTTTGACCAGTAGAGAGTTCACAACATGTGTACTGAATGTCATTACTATGCAAATGTAAAAGAAAATATATAGGATAAAAAACACGTCAGCTGAACTATCTGCCAAAATGTTTAATAGAAGGACTTGCAGTGTTTCAGTGGAGAAACCATAGCCGAGAGGCCATGTGAACAACAAGCATACAGAACTTTAATACCTACACTCTTTTGCACTGATTGCTTCTGCAATTAAAGCTATACAAAACCAAAGAAAACATTTATTTACAAAATCTGTTTGTGCAAGCATGATTTTTTCTATTACATTCTCTCTTTCTACAATTTTGTATAGGCATGCATAGAAATAAACTTTGGTACAATATGTTAACAAAACTAAAGACAATCTCTGAAATAGAGATGTTACAGTATGTACATGTGAAGTAGAGAGCAATTGTATCAATCACTACAATTTTAGTTTACATTTAGACATCAATACTCATTAATTTAAGAGCCATAAACTGCATGAGTAAATCAAGGAACTGTGACATAGGTAGGTTAAGCCAGGTATAACCTATCCTAAATGTCTAACACATAATATATAGTCAGTTGTAAAGATGTAAAATACAAACTTTGGCAAATAGGCACAACTACTGAAAAGACTGCAAAACTGTTGTCAATTTATAATGATAAATCTTAAAGACATTGGCAGTGCATGAGAGAAAGAAAAAAAAACACAATGTTTGTCAAATTGTATTAATGGTTAATATACTTACAGTACTTTTTCACTTATTATGGCTACAACCAATGTCTGTCAACTTAAAAAAAAAATGAAAAAAACATCTACAATCATTTAGAGGATACTAATAACCAAAACATTGTTTACATACTTTTACTACTGACTAGAATACTTTTTAGTCTCTCAACTTGTATGAAAAATAAATATTCTTTTCAAATGAAGTGCTCTGTAAAATCCTTGATCAAGAGCCTGCTCTCTGCAATTAAATCGTTTTCTTTAGTTCTAAAATAAAACAGTTAATCTTTTTATATGTTTATGATTTGCAGAGATTCAAGTTTAAAACACTGATTAATGGATGATGGCCTTTCACTTTAACAGAGAAAATAATAACATGCAATAACCAAAGTCATGCCAAAACAAAGTTCACTCCGATAGAACAATATTATCTGTTCAAACAAATAAAATCGTAACTTAAAAATGAATCAAAGTAAAATCAGGAGTGACTCTACCTCATTAAGAGATACATAAATGGTTGCGAAGCAGCGAAGCATTCTACGCAGCATCCTTAGCGAGAGTTACCGTGGGAATAGCTGATTTACCGGCATTTCCGTTGTGTGGCCGACTGTAGCTGGTGAAGCTGGGTGTGTGAATGGTACGGATACTCTTCACACTCTGACTCAACATAGTCGGGGACAAAGGGGAGTGGGAACAGGAAGAGGAAGAAGAGGAGGAAGGTCGACCGTTTTGTGTCTGCGTGGGAATAGAGAGGCCTTTAGTGCTGTGAGTGGGAGGGGCAAATTTGAAAGAACCATTAGAAAGGGAGGGGATATGAGAGGAGGGGGTGGAACTGGATCGAGGAGGAGGGATAGAAGATTTGCTAGTGGGAAGGGAGGAAGATAAAGGAGAAGAAGAATTAACAATATTAGTAGAATCAGACTGGGACAAGCCTTTTCCCGTACTAGAGGAAAAAGCAGGAATTTTAGAAGCAGGCACGGTAGGAGAAGTGGATTTGGGATCTCCTCCAGATCTCTTAGCACTTCCATTAGCCTGCAAACAAAGATGCCAAAACACACTGATTGTCAACATAGGGAATCAAAATTTCTAAGCATGTTTCAAATCATACTACTGGGATCTACAGTTAATCATGATAGATTATCAAAGACACAGAAACTACATATATAGGTGAAAATACTAAAGGCACACACAAAAAAACTATCTGTCTTGAGGGTGAGAATATAGAAAAAAATCACTTTAAATAGACTGTAAGAAGGAAAGGAGAGTGAAGGTGAGGGACGGTAAGATTATACGTTTTAGAGTGAGTATTGCGCAGAGTGAGTGCAATCAACCAGTACTCATAACCAAAGGAGGCTCCAGGAGGAATAGAGGAGGTACAATTTTGGGAAGGCATCCACAGGATAATGGGGACTTAGTGGATTTGTGGACCCTGGGCATTGAGGCCAAGGTTTGCAGATTCCTCCGAGCGGTATACAGGGAAAGGGTCCAAAAATGGGTTAAACAGAGAAGCATCCTGACTTACAAGGGAAGTTGAAGTGTCACAGGCATTGGAGTGTGTAGGGGTTAAATGTCAGTGGTATTTTAGTTAAAGAGACCCTAGTCTAAGCATCCAATAATGTTAGGTAAGCAGTGGCTGTGGTGTTTATATTTCTTTCTTTCACGTTTGTAAATTAGTTTGTCTTTTACAGCACCAAAGCCACAAGCAAAGCAAACATGCAGAAGCATTTGATGGTATTATGAAATAACAGTCAGTTGCCTTCAGTCACAGCCATTCAAAAAACATGTAGCAGGAAAAAACGTCAACAGTTCAAAGATAGCTTTCGGCACTAGGCCTTTAACCAAAGAACAGTTTGTTCGGTATCATCAGGTTTTTTGTTAGTTCTTTTTCCCCTCTCAATACAAGCCCTACAAGAACTGACTTTCCTCTCGAGCATTCAGTCTATGCCTAGGTGTGTGTGTCTTTCTGACTGGACAAGTGGTCCTATGATAAGACTACCTGGCGGAACTGCCTCTGAGAGTCCTGTAGCTTTTGCGGTTTTGTTGCCCTCTCTTTCTCTGAGGTGCCCGGTTGCTGCCGCGCCTTGGCAGAAACAGGCACCGGCATCCGACTAGTAGGTGAGACCACACTGGCATTCTGCAAAAAGGATTTAAACCAAACAGAAGAGAAAAGGAATAAAAAGAAAGAAACAAAAAGAGAGCCATATTTGAGGTGGTTTGTAAGCTAAATCACAGCAAGACAAAGCTTGCACAACACATCTGTGTGGTATCACCATAACATTGTAGAGTTTGTGTACCAGAAAGAGAAATAAGGAAGCATGCAAACCAGCCCAGAATACCAACAAATTTCTTTAAGGACTGCCTTAGAACCCACAAAAAGGATTCAGAAACAGTGTGAGACTGTGGTTCTAAGACGGTGAAAGTTGTTGGCTGCCTTAACCCAAGATTAGAGCACCATCAGTGAACACACAAAGGTCTATCTATGACACACCACTCCAGAAATAAACACACCATATTTATTAAAATATGTGAAGGTGTTAAAAAGTTCAGATCCCAGAGTTGGTAGCCTCCACTGCAGGAAAGGCTAAGGATCTTCAGAAGTCACTGGATAGGGTGGAACTGTTGTGAACAAGAGGAGAGGGACAGACCCATAGTCTTTGCTAAGGTAGTAGGAGCTAGAGAGAGACCTGCTGGGTGGGAACTGGTGTGACTGAGACCCCAGTAGTTGGTATGATGGCAGGCCGAGGAAGGAGCTGTGGCTTTGTCTTCTTTCGTAGACCAGGACCTTTACTGGCAAAAGTCGACCTTGGAACCAAGATTTTGGGAGAAAGTCCTTTCTCTGAGTGCCCTGGACTCTCTTCAGTTTCAGGCTCTTCCGAAGACTTCGGTCCCATTTCGCAAATGGTGTTCTCTAGCTGCTTTATGGTTTGCTCTAGACTGTCAAGGGTTTTGTAGGTATTCTTACGAATCTCGTCAGTTCGTCCATTAGGTTCCTGCTGATTTGATTTTGAAGACTCTGTTTTGGAGCAAGCAATTTCAAACCTCTTGGTCTCTTTGTGTTGTTTGACAGTCCCATCTGACTCTTCCTCATCCTCATAGACGACAACCTGCAAAGTCTTTTTGCCTGTTTTACTTCCAGCTCGAATGGCTTGCGATAATGCTGCTAGCTGTTTCTTGGGGAACTTAAACTTGAACTTCTGCTTTCCATCTTGCTTTGCATCACCAGCAACGTCTACTAATGCCCCTCCCTCAGATAAAGATGAGGATGAAGAAGAGTTCCTGACTTGACCATCTGTGATATCTGCAGGAGAATTTGAGCCAGTACTTTTTCCAGAATCCCTACCATCTCCATTCTGTTTGACCTGCACTCCCTTAGTCCATTCTTCTTCCTCAGTTTCCTCACTCTCCTCATCTATTCTTTCTTCTGCAAGCATCCGCTCTAGCTCCTCCTCACATTCAAAGATAGTAGAGAGGCGTTTATAAGCTGAGCGGATATCCATTGGCTCGTCAAAGATGATGATGACTGGCTTTTTACTGCCGTTGTCAGCACCAGTAGGACCATTAATACTGGCATCACCTCCTGATGCCATGCCACTTTCAGAAGCACTTGGTCGTTTGTTGCCAACAGTAACTGTCTGCACATTACCTTTCTTGGCATTGACTAGCTGATGGTACTCTCCAGTGGAAAGGGCTTGTACCTTGGTGTTAGTGATCATAAAGGCAAAGTTATCAGGAGGAGGCGGAGGTGGCTCTTCTCCTGACAGATCGGGACTGAGAGAGGCCTCATTATTTTCCTCCATTTCCTCAAATTTCTTTTCCTTCACCTTGGATGAACCAAATATAAATTTCTGATTTGCTAAATCTGTCCCAACAGGGACTGCTTTAGAAAGAATCGGTGCAGTGTTTTCAAAAGAGACTGGTGAGCAAATTGCTGTTGGAGACTCTACCCTCTCCTCTATGCTAACCTGCACTTGGGCAGCCTTGACCACATGAACTTTCCCTTGGGTTGGGCTAGCTGGAACTTCTTCCAGTGGAGAGGGTGGATTTGACTTCAACGAGGCTGAACGAGGCAGCTGATTTTGTTGTAGAGTGATAGAAGAGCTGGCTGGACCATTACTTTTGAGGGCGCCAAATTTGTTAGTGGATACCTGTAGCTGGCTTTGGCATTGGTCAGAAGCATTGACATGTGACACCTGTGATGGGGGAGACAGTGATGCGTCTCTACGTTCTGTTGATTCCTCTGAGGCTGATGGAGTTCCCTTGGAGATCTGAGCTGTGACATAGTAGATGACCTTAAATGGTCAAAGGTCAGAGAAGAAAAAATGAAATTTCAATTAGGTATAGTTTCATGAGCCAAATATAAATTTGTTAGTAATCCTACCTGGTATTAATCATATTCTACAATTGACTTGGCCATTAGTGAGTCTTTATGGGGATTCACAGAACACTATTACATAACTATTTTAGTGATGGATTTCATTTAACTATTAAATGACCAGTCGTCACTTTTTTTAGGGGTTTATAATAAGTTTATAATAACTGTGTAACTGTGATAATAAACACTGCAGCTCACCCCAGGACTCTGACAAATTGTATTGTTGCCATTCTCATCTGTGTCAGGGTTCTTGTCGTCTTGGTTTTCAGTATTCTGTGGTTTGTTGGGAAACAACATCACTTCACAAAGAATCAACCGCAGTCTATAAGCTACTCTAAGACCACCGAAAACATATAGGTTGCTTTTGACGCAACACATTCTTGGATCATATATTCTACCATATATTTCAAAATATTTTTAATATTAAGCATTGTCATAAAATATGTTTCTAACCTTAATGATACCAATAATATGTTACAGCTGTACATAAAGACTAATTATTTTCTCTACAGTAATAATCATATTTTAAAATATGCAATGAATGGGATTAATAATAAAAAACAAACTTCATGGGATTAAAATCATAATCTGGAGCTAGACCTACAGTAAGGCATTTGTGAACGAATCTGAGAAAACAGCTCAAAATTATACACAAGAAAAGGGAAACAAACAATGAAAATGTCATTTTAAATTTGTATTGCATGTACTAACAGTTTCCAACTTTTTCCATTTTGAATACAATTTTGAGCATAACAAGGTTCTTATTGGTTATATTTCACCTGTAAATTCTATATTACACTGCACAACTTTTGACAGTGAGAAAATACTGTGAAAATGAAGGTAAAGAGAGAAAGTGAGACTGAAAACCCATTCAATAAGTAAGGAGGCTTATACAGTAGCAGGCATGCAGCAAAGTGAGAAGATCAAAGAACAAATTCTGAACTCCAGACTGCTAGCTGAAAGTGTCCTCTAAAATCCTCAATAACAAACCAATTCTAAGTTGCATTCTTCATATGATTTAGACACTGACCCTTTTTAAAGAAAAAACTAGATGTGCACAGTAAAGTAGGTCCTGATAATTTCTCATAAGTCTGCTAAATTGCTTACATTTTGCCCAGGACAATTTGATTATGCTACGCCCAGTTAGATAACTCAACCTGTAAATGTACATTGTAAAGCATAAATGCAACCTCAGGTAAGCTTCGGAAATTGAATTGTCCCCAATTGAGATCACACTTTTTTTTTTTTATTAAAATGCTAAATGTAAAAAAGAAAACACACACACAACACCCTTTGACAGCAGAGTGTCGAAAATCTAGTTTATTGATTGGATGACTCAAAGCACATAAACCCAATCATATCTGTTTCCCCTTTTGGCTCACACTACATCACTACAATCAGCACAGTTCATGAGTTCAGCAGAAATAAAAGGAAAGGAACAGAATTTAAACTTAAAGAACAGTGAGAACATTTTTGATGTCAGATACCCATCACAAGAGTGTACAGAGGAAGTTAGCAAAGGGAAAGAAAGCCATACAAGCATTGCAAAGAACAGCCATCAGGGACAAGCGGCTGGCACAGGCAGGCAGTTGGAGGGTCTACTAAAGGACATCATATCCTTTACCTTCTTATCTTTAAGGGGCAGTAAGACCCCAGGTCTTAGCTCTTTGATCTGTGGCTCTACCAAACCCTTGAGCCCTACCTCCTTAAAAGAGCACTTCTGGAAAACCTGAAGAGAAGAATTTGTGAGGAAGGGGGTAAAAGATTAGAATTTGCCCATAGTAAATTGGGCAAACCTGTTCAAGATTACTGTACAATGTAATAGAAATTATCTACAATTAGTTTAATCAAATCAGATTAGATTATCTGCCTATATGCATTTTTATTGTCATTAAAATTAAATGACAAAAATTTATCTATCTATCTATCTATCTATCTATCTATCTATCTATCTATCTATCTATCTATCTATCTATCGGTCTGTCTATATTAGTATTATAATTTTTATTTATATGCAATTCTTTTTACATATATTTTTATTTTTACATATATTTTGATTACATTTTACACTTTCTGTCGTATTAAGCATGTATGCATATGTGTATCATTTTAAAAGGCTGTTTTGTTTTATTTTTTAAAGAATTTATGAGAACTATTGTTGTGAATTTATAGAATTGTGAGAAAAGAAGCTAATCTACTGCAAGGGAAATGAAACTGCCACCGAATGAGCCACATGGCACACCCAAAGCATCTTAACACCCACACCAAAGCAATTTCACACCCAATACATTTAAACACCAAAACACCTATAGTTAGTGAAAGTAAGTGAGCATGTGCATGTATAAACATTTATACCCATTAGGAACATGAAGTTATGCTTGCTACAAGTCTGTATTAGTGTGCATGTGTATGTATGTTTGAGTTTATATGTGTATCTCACCTGTAGCTCTGCCATAATCTTGTCTCCCTCATCGTCTTCCTCAGTAATAGCCGAGGCAGCGATAGGTGGAGGAGTAATGGGTTTGGGCTTCACCTCTGGAGAGGATTTTGGTTCAGGCTGAGATGCTATACTGTTGGACTCCTCTTCACCCTCCTATGAAACAAGTTATATTCATTTAATTATATTTATATTTTAATTGTATTATTTCATTTTATATAATCATTTTTTTAATTTTATATTATCATTACACTTTATAATAATTATTATTTTAAAATAGAATTACAATTTAAATTAAAATTAATAGATTTATTTTATTATTTAATTTATAATATTTTTTTACAAATATAATATCAATAATACACATATATATCCTGCAAACACACTTGTACCATAACAGATTCCTTCCTGCTGGTGTAAATGACCTCTCCAGATCGGGTGGTGGTCATCCCAGTATTGGTGGTGTAGTTTCGTCGAGGTGGAGGTGGAGGAGGAGACTTGTTGGCTTTCTCTGTGGTCTGAAGCTTAACAACTTTTTCCTGAGTCTTACTTTGTCTCTCTAGGCTGGATTTGATGGATAGGTTGGGTTTAAGAGGTCTCTCCAAAGCTGACTTAACTGGTTTCTCCAGAGGTTTGGGAGGTTTCTCTGGAGCAGTCTTAGTAGGTTTCTCAGAATTTGGCTGATTGTCATCTGCAGAAACAAAATGAAGTATAAACATCGCCAAACAGTAGTCTCAAGAGCTCTGGTGTGTCTTTCAGTCTCTTACCCTGCTCTGCTGGTGCTGCTGTGGGCTCATTTTTTTCTACCACCTCCTTCAGGGAGGCAGGAACCTCTGCAGGGGAGCCCTCAGGTTCGCTGGGCACCTCAAGGTTTGGTATTCCTCTCAGCATGTTGGCTTCTGCTTCCTGGAGCATCCGTTCGAACTCCTGCCCATCATAATGACCCATGTTCTGCCTCTTCTCCTCCCATTCTTTCTCTGCTGCCTGAAGATACCAATCAAACGAGTAACTAAATAATGGAATGCACAATTTCACCTCATTCATTTGGTTTAACATGCACAATACTCACCTCTATTGACACAGCTCTGTTCTTGTTCTTGCTGTGGCTTGCGTGGATCTCCTCAATGAAGTTTGGAGAAGGACCTTTGCCATGAATGCCATTAGAAGAGACTCCATTACTGCTGTTATTTGGTATTAGTGTCTGCTCGAGTGAGGGTTTTTTGAGCTGTTTGGTGGGTGAAGGGGTAGACTCTCGTCTTTGTGCGGCAGAGGGAATGGGTGAGGGTGCTGTTGATTGCTGGGATTGTTGTGAAGCTACCGGAGAGGCCTGGGCATGGTGGATCACCACAGGGTTTGACGTCATAACCTCTGACCTCACTGTGGAGCTCTGAGGTGCAACCGAGGCAGTCTTGAGGGATTCAACCACAGCTGATTCTGGTTTTTCAGAGGCAGGTGTTGAGGAAACAGGGTCAGAGGGCTTCAGCAGGCTTTCTGTGGCAGACCTAAAGAATAAATGAGAAATCAAATAGAAATCAATAAAGAAAACATTCACAATACAGTAAAATCTAACCAAATTTAAAATCATGAGCTTATTTTTATCATCTCTAAAATATGTTTAAGGAGTAAAAGCTGCAGTTTGTAATTTTTTTTTTAAGTATTAAAATACTCCTAAAATTTCTCTGGTTGCTCTGTGGAGCTTTCAGAACATTTCTTTGAACAAACAATGAAAGACAGAGTATTTGAGAGTCCTATTTGTACTGCACATAACATAACATGTTTTGAGCAACCCCATAATTGAATGTTTGTGCTACCAACATGAATACTATGAACCCTAGTAATTTTCTAGTATTTGAAATTAATAAATTATTATATACATATTATATAAAAAATCTATAAATATAAAAATAAATATAAATGTTGACATTTAAAAATAAAAACATAAATAAAACTAGAAATACATTTAAAATAGCTAGAATAGAAATAGAATAGAAATAAAATTAAATTAAAAAAGAAAGGGTAAAAGAAAAAGAGAGAAAAAAGGTATGTAATTTAATTTAAATAAAATGAATAACAAGAAAAAAATCAGCAAGTAAAATATGATGTAACATAAAATCTAAAATACAATCCTATTAAGTTTAATTACATTAAATTAATGGCAGTAATTAAATTTAATTACATTTTATAAAATATAATGCAATTAAATTTAAGTAAAAAAAATATATAAATAAAAAAGGAAAATACAAAAAAGAAAAAGTGAGGAAATAAGTCGGTGTAATTTAATTTTAACTTGGGGTTATCGCCTGATTGGCAGATAACAAAATGGACATTACAATCCTAGTGACTACCACAGAAGAAGAAACTTGAGCCATATCATAAAACTTTTGACTTGGGGCCAATAAGTAACCAATTAGAAACCACCCGAAACACTAGCGACCACCTATTTCACACACATTTTCATTAGAATGTGTAAAAATCTGTTTAGTTTTGCAATTACATTTGGTGCCGGCCGCTAGCGGAGCAGAAACACGCAGCAGCTTCAGAAACAAAACACTATTTTCCAGAGTGCTGGTAATATTCATTGCATTCGCACATTCACAGAGAATGGCAACCGGCTTGAGTCTGATCAGGTCTGACACGGAGGAGAAAGGAAGTGACTAGCAGCAGATGCTCCAGATCTCTCAACTGCCTAAACCTATGATTACAATATGAATGAAAGATGGAGAACAGAAACTGCGTATTAATTTCCATAACGCTCTGTCTGGCTGCTCGGATACGTGGCTGGAATCAGAAGGTGTACAGATCCATAAAGTTTGTCGTAAAGTATTTTATTAACAACAATCTTATTATATTCTCAATTGAAACGTCTGTCTCAATCTCTTTCTCTCTCTGTCTGTACCTGCGAAGGTTGCTGAGTGTGTCCGTGAGGGTTCGGACTCTCTTCAGCATGCTGTCAAGCTTGTGCGGCTCTTCTTTGAGGAACTTAACAGCCTCCACCTCCACCCTGAGCACCGCCCGCATACGGGATTGAAGAGCTGGAAACTCCCCTGCAGGAAAAACATGACGTTTTGCTACTAAACTGAGTGTCATCATCAGCTGGGAAAGCGTCTGACATTTAACCTGTTTACGCATGTCGGTCGTCATGAAACACGACTTAGAGTTAAGTAGGAGGATTTTCCTTCCTAGTTTGTCTGAGGTATTTCAGTGAGTAATTTATGTTGTTGTACCTTTCAGTCCAGCCAGGTTCTCGCCCACCTTCCTCAGACTGACAGCTCCCTCCTCTACCTCCTTCAGCGTCACGGCTCTCTGAGACACAGCAGGGCTGGAGTCAGTCCTCAGTGTCTCCACATACTGCTCCAGATCCCTACACACAAACACATGTGACACTTATGACACAAATAGCAATGCAAATATCTTATATTATTACTGATGAGCCAATCCATCCACATAAACTTGTGTTTTTGTCATCCAGTCATCTGATCAATATTGAAATGACACTGTTGTGGCACCAGAGGGCAGTGTAGATTTCACATTATGCTCTTGACATTTTTGCCACCAAGTGTCTTGTAGTCTTCTTGGCTGCTAAAATTCTGGTTGAAGAAAACTATCCAATGCTTGCAGGATTTAATGAGAGTTTAGAGAGAAGTATTACATTATGGCCATGATGATTTGCTTATGTTACACCATGCTTGTTTATATTAGTGGTTCTCAGCCTCTTGTACAACACAATATTATTTATCGAAAATGTTTTGCAAATTATATATATATTATATATATATATATTAAAAAAAAAAATGTTTTGCTTTTGATAATTTGCCCCCTATTTTGAGTCTGTAAAATGCTGCCTTTCATAAAAATGGTTATTGTTTATCACGTTTATATGGGTGGCTTAGTATCAGATACCAGAAATAAGAAGTATATTTTTATAACTTTAATTTTTATATTGTGTTTTAAACCATGTTTTAAAGAGTTAAAGACTGATTAGGCAGTGTTCACTCCCATTTGGCACTTGGTGAGTGTTAATTTTGGACGCTGTTAGCGTATATATAAGTACTAACATAAGAATAAAATATAAATCTGAAGCAGTTTTTACACTTTAACAGTTTAAATTGGTCTGCACTATTTATTTATTTATTTGGCCTTTTTAAACAACAGATTTGATGATGCATTCTAGTACACTCATCTTAGGTTCCAAAAAAATAAAACAAATAAATAACAACACAGTGTATGTTGAAACTATGTTCTTCAATACATCATATATATTCTTCATATTGATGTATTCTTAAATACATCATTATATAAATGATGTGTAATTTGGTATATAAGATGAGGCAGTTTGCTAATGTTCCACGTTTCACATCTCCTTTCATAAAGAGGAGAAAACTGCTGTTTTGATGCCACATTCCTAAGCTGCCACACGTGTAAAAGTCAAACTGTCCTTGTTGGCTCAACGATTCACTGCTCACAGGCACCCAGAGACCTTTGCTGACTGGGCACTGGCGTAAAACCAAGGAAAACACAGTGTTAATGCTGCTCCTGATCTCTGCCTAGTGTTTATTCCCACTGAGTTCAGTTGTGCATGTTTAAAGCTGTGGAGCTCACGCTTGTTAAGCAGTTAAATTAAAGTGGGATTTAATTATGGTTTACATGCAGCAGGGTGGACAGGGCTATGAGTTAAAAAAGGGGCTGTAATGGATCATACCAGGAATGATTGAAAATAAAAGCATTTGTTTGTCCACAGGAAAGTGAATTTCCGATTCCATGGAGTGTGTGTGTGTGTGTGAGTCGTACCCAAGCTGGGTGAGAACTCTTTCCTGCATGCTGAGATACCGGTGTCTCTCTTCCTCCACCAGTGTCCTCTGTTTCTGTGTCGGATCTTCCTGTCGTCTCAGCATTTCAGCCAGCTTCACACTGATCTCTTGCTCCGCACGCTTTATCTGAGCACGCACACACTCCTGATTCTGAAGCTGAAAACACACATTTACTTCATTTTGTAACATTATTTGTGTCTTTACTGTGAAGTTTAATCAATTGAATGCGTCCTTGCTAAATAAAGGTACAAATATTTCTTGCTGACCCCCAACATTTTGAACTTTAGTGTGTTATAATAATTTTAATGTAAAACTTTCAAATAATTTTGCCCTGAATATTATTTTACTGAATGTAAATCTGTCACATTACTCTAGATAAATGAGCTATGAATGTTGTTTCATGTTGTCGTTAAAATAACAATGAACATTAAGACACTTGTTGAACAAATGTAGGACAACATGCATATTATAACAGCAGATTTCTCAAGATATTAACTGACTTTCATTACCTGTAATCGTCTCATATGTTGCAGTTGGAGGCGGAGCTCAGAGACATTCTTCCTGAACAGGTGTAGGTTAACATGTAAGGGGGCGTGGCCTAGTGGTGGTGTAGGGGCGGGGCTACGCTCAGGAGGTGCTGCAGCAACTTTTGGCGCTAATACGGGAGAACCTCCTAAACAAAACACAAAAGCACACAAAAACATGACCTACAATCACAAACAAAAGTATTTCATGTTAAGACAGACTGGGCTCTCAAATGTATGTGTGACAGTTATTTGAAATAAACAGATGTAGGCGGATTGCTGGAAATAATGTGATGATCCAAGTTTTATAGATTTTTTAAAAAGAGAATTTATAATCTTTTTATAGCTCAAGAAATTATGCTGTTGATGTAATCAATTTAAGTGCCTTAACAAATACATATTCACATATATTGGCCCTAAGCTTAAGGAGATGTGATATTTGTTGTTGTACCCATATTTGACCATAACATTTGGCAAGATTACATTTCAAACTCCACTGAGCATAATTGAAAATACAGCATTTCAGATCAAATCTTGCAAAAGTACATATTTATGTGAGTGCGCAAGACAGCGTGTAGACGTGTTTGTTCTTTTGCGGCTTATGCTGTTTGAGTGACTCGCTCTCTGTGTTCTTGTCAGCGTGTATGTGTGGAAACAGTGAGAAACATGTGGCAGTTCTGCAATTCTGAGTGACAGATGAGTGGGAAAAGATCGGATTTTTGGGATGCACAACAGCCACTGCATTACAATCTGTTGCTGCAAGAGCCACCGCCACCACACACACACACACACACACACACGCACACACGCACACACACACACACACACATAGTGGTCAACCAATGTTGTTTTTTTTATGGCCAATGTCAGTATCTTAGAGAGCAGGCTGGCCGATATAAAACCAATGTATATATCACACTATTTAATTTAAATGTAGTAAAAACACATGTATAACAATTGCTTTATTTAAAATTATATGAAAATAACACAAATAAACAGATTCATACTTCAGATGGCAACTTCTTGATTCTATAATCCTATTAGTATTTTTATTTACACATAAAAAATATGAATAAAAAGAAAGTAAACAATGTAAACACTAAGGGCAATCAGTAATCTGGCAAGTCTGTGAGCACTAGGAATCATATTTTTTTAATAATGTGCTAATTTTGCATACGTTACATAGTGAATATGACATGAATATGACAGCGGCCATCTGAATATAATGCAGCATAGTTTGAAACCAAGAATTTAAAGTTTGATAGTACAAACATTTTTATGAAGTCTACAAATGCACACTTCAGAAGTTCACACTGCTGCATTCCCCAAAGTTTGTGAAATTAAATGTTTATGAGATATTCAAAGACTTGTTTAAATGATATAAATGTGTATTTGCTGAATGCTGATGGTAGGTGAGAGAGTATTACAGAATTTGCCTTATATTACTACTAATAAATAAGCATGTATGTTGACCACTAGAAACAACCAGATGAGGTCTGGAAGCAATGGTAAGAAGGAATTTACCTGTGCTAGATGTGCTGTGAGGCGGTGAGCCGGACTTTACTGGTTTCTCACTGGAAAAATGCAAGAGATATATAAAATGACTGAATGCACATATGCACATGTATACAGACACAGACAAAATCCCTCTACAAACACTTGCAGTTAGTCTGTGTTACAGGGGTACAAGCACTGCCATTCGTAAAGGCACCAGTTACTGTGAGAATGAGTTAATTTAGTTCATGCACAGTTAGTAGTCATAGAACCCACCAAGTCTTTTTCAAACACCCAGTGTCTGATTACCACCACCTTTAATCCACCATATTCCTCCTTTTGCCTTTCTTATTTGATTTGGGAAACAATGTGATATTCTGGGAACTACATTACCCAGCCTGCCTTGCTTACCTGGGGTGTTCCTGGTTGCTGTTAGTGCTGTGGCTCTTTAAGAGAGCATGCTGCACAAGACCAGTCAGACTGGCTATTTGCTCCTCCATGGCCTTCATTCTCTCTCTGCAGAGAGATAGAGCATATTGCATGCTTACTACTGATGGAAAATTTGTGGAGACGGGCGAGGGGGAAAATTGAAATAACAGTAGGACTGTGTACCTCCTGAGATGGCTCAGTTATCTAAGGCCATTTTACTCATTCATCATTAATAAAGACACAGATATACTAACTGGTTAATATAGCATTTTGGCTAAAATATCAATTTATCATAATGTACATTAAAATGTTGTGATGTCTGAATTCACTTGTAGCCTTTAACAATTGATTTGAGTGTTTAGTTTTAATGTATTTACACAAAAATTATAATATATAAAATAATTATCAGCTTACTGGCATCAGCCTAAATTTTACTATCAGTGCATATTTACAATAAAGCACAGTCTCTTTTACTTTAATGCTTAAACAGACATTTTAAATAAAAGTTACTAAGTGGAATACTTGCTTTATCACTTACAGTGTTGTTTTTAAACACTCCCATTTAAAAGTTTAGGGTCAGTAAAAATATTTATTTATTTAAGTGAGAAATGAATATGTTCATTCAGCAAGATTGCATTAAACTGATTAAAAGGGACAGTAAAGACATTTATATTATTAAGACTTCTATTTCAAATAAATTCTGCTCTTTTCTGTTGTTTTTAGTGCTGTCAGACGATTAATCGCGATTAATCGCATCCAAAATAAAAGTTTTTGTTTACATAATATATGTGTGTACTCTGTATATTTATTATGTATACATATAAATACACACACATGCATGTATATATTTCAGAAAAATATTTATTGTTTATATATTAAATAGATTTATATATATTATAAATTATATTAATATAAATATATACATGTAAATACATATAAATATTTTTAAAATACATACTGTATGTGTGTGTATTTATATATACATAATAAATA